CTGTTCTCTGAACCTCATGGATCGTCCTCCTCATAGGTCTTAACCTATAATGAAGCCAAGATAAAAGTTCAAAATAACTGCAGAAAAATCCAGAGAGGTGTTTTGGTTTAAATGTTAGATTTTGCTTACTTCACTGCATAAGGTGTGATACTTGGAGAGCAATGACAGACAGGGTAGGAGTGACTTGAGCTGGGAGTGAAAGATGGCAATATTCAGTCTTAAAATTGAAAAAGAAACAGAGATGGTACAGGCCTTTAATCCCAGCACTCAGCAGGCAGAGACAGGTGGATCTCTCAGTTCAAGAACAACCTGGTCTACAGAGCAATTTCCAGGACAGCCAGGGCTACACAGAGAAACCCCATCTCAAATATATATATATATATATATATATATATATATATATATAGAGAGAGAGAGAGAGAGAGAGAGAGAGAATTGGAGAAGAACACACCGATTGGTTAGCCAATGCCAAATAATCAGCCCTGAAAATATACATAACAAGTAACAGAGTAGAGACTGAACTGTTTGGATTTATGCATTTAGGAATATAATATATACATATATATATAATATACATATAATATAAATATGTAACAAATAATAAAAAGGGGACTATGCATTTGAAAGAGAGCCAGAAGGGGTACATGGGATAGTTTGGAGAGAGAAATAAGAGAGAAATTATGTAATTATATTTTAATCTCAAAAAATTAAATATTTTCCTTTATTATTTTATTAATTGTGGCCAGATGGGACTTTGCCTTCCTGATTATTTGGCAATTTCATTTAGATCACCTTCATATATGTATATATTTTAGGAAGTTTCTGCCATGTTAGGTTTTGACAAATGCCCCATAATTCTAGCTATCTCTCCCTGTATTCCCTCCCATGACCACCTCCCTGTTTGAGCCTCTATTCCAGTCCTTCTCCCAACTCCATCCAAGTCTGTTTATTCTATTTAACTAACTTTTTATGGGGATAAATAAGAAGGAATCTCAATTTTAAGAGTCAGATGCTAGGATTTTTATGACACTTCTGAAGATGCTCCTCTCAGCTCACGTCTACACACTAACCTGTAGACCACCCTAGAAACTGTAAGTGTCTGTGATCATAAATGGGCAACCTGACACTGAGCATGGGAAATTCACAGAGCAAATGTTATGCTCTGGCCAAGCTGGTTCTCCAGTGGGAGTCAGAGACTTTTCCTAAAACAGTGATATGGGTATTATATTTAGAAGAAAAATTGAACAAGATGGGTTGGGGAATTAACTACGGGCAATGAGGAAAAAGTATACATATTAAGTTTAAGTTCATATGCATATCTAATTTTATCTTCCTGAAATGCATCCTTCAAACAACTTCTAGAAGTGCAATTTAATACACATATGTAATTAAGATGTCCTTGATATGAACCATAAAAATGAAGCCTTGAGTTCACAGCTTACATTAACTCACATCTATTTACCCTCTCAATTTCTTTTCTTTTTATATTGCTCCATAAACACCATTCTACTTAGGGAATTCTGTGTCCTTCTATGCTTTACCTCTGGGGGATGGAGAGGTGGCTCAACAGGTAAGAGCACTGGATGTCCTCCAAAGGACTAGTGTGTAATTCCCAGCACCCACATGGCAGCTTACAATCATCTGTAACTCTAGTTCCAGAGAGACCTGATGTTCTTTTCTGGGGTCTGCAGACACAAGGCACAAAGATACACATGCAGACAAATGCCCATACACATTAAATTGAATTTTTAAAAAACATCTCTTTCTTGGACACACCTTGATTACTGAATGTCCCGATTCAAGTCCTCATAAAAAATCACTGATATTTACTATTATTCTGTATTATGTCAAGAATGTGTAGATATTATTTTAGCATTTTAGGGTAATGACATGATCATATTTATCTCTTTTCCTTAAAGCTCAATATAGAGTCTACATAAAACCAGTATTGAGAGAACATGCTTTTACACAATAAGAGAATGACCACATTCCTGGATATAGGTGTATAATAAGTCTTGAGACTTAAAGACAATAATTATGTTTCTGTTTTTAGAGTGACAATAACAAGATAAGACTGATCTAAGGCAAACCTAGAAGGAATAGGAGACAGGGCAAGATAAACATCAATCAGAGACATACCATATGGATATGAAAGAGGGCACATGGCACCAGAGAAGAAATACCAGAGGGTTTAGAGATGCCGCTATTTTTTTATTTTTCCATTCAATTATTTACACTTCCTTCCCTCCTTCAAATTCCCTCCCACTCCCCCACACCTCCTCCTCCCTCTCCGGCCTGCTTGAGAGAGGGCCGGGAATTCTGCCCTGTGGGAAGTCGAAGGCCCTCCTCCCTACATCCAGGCCTAGGGAGCTGTGCATCTATATAGACTAGGGTCCCAAAAAGCCAGAACATCCCGTAAACACAAGTCCCAGTGCCTTTATCAATGGCTTCTCAGTCAGCCCTATTGTCAGCCACAATCACAGAGAACAGTTTGATCACATGCTCATTCAGATCTGGTCCAGCCGGATGTCGTGAGCTCCCATTAGAACAGGCACACTGCTTCGGTTGATGGACCAACCCCTCGCGGTCCTGACTTCTTTGCTCATCTTCTCCCTCCTTCTGCCTTTCAACTGGACCTTGGGAGCTCAGTCCGTTGCTCTGATGAGGGTCTCTGTCTCTATCTCTATCCATCACTGGACGAAGATTCTATGGTGATAATCATATTCAAGATAATCATCAGTGTGATAGTGGGACAAAGACAGTTCAGGCACCCTCTCCTCTGCTGCCCAGGACCTAGCTAGGGACATCCCGTGAACACCTGGGATCCCCTCTAGAGCCAAGTCTCTTGCCAACCCTAAAATGGCTCCCTTATTGTAGGTATCTTCCCTGCTCCTATATCTGCCCTTCCCCCATCTCCACCCTCCCACTCCCCCAAGCTCTTGCCAGTCCTTCCCTTCTCCCTTCCCTTTTCCCCCTCCCCTTCCCCCAAACTCACCCCCACCCCTTCCCCCACCCCCATGCTCACAGCTTTTGCCCTGCAATTTTGTTTGCTTCCAATTTCCAGGAAGATCTATATATGATTTTCCTTGGGTTCACCTTGTTATTTGGCTTCGCTGGGCTTGTAAAATATGGGCTTAAAAAATGGGACACTGAACTGAACAGAGAATTCTCAACAGAAGTCCAAATGGCCAAGAGACACTTAAGGTCATGTTCAACTTCTTTAGTGATCAGGGAAATGCAAATCAAAACAACTTTGAGATCCCATCTTACACCTGTCAGAATGGCTAAAATAAAAAACACCAATGATAGCCTTTGCTGGAGAGGATGTGGAGTAAGGGGAACACTCACCTATTGCTGGTGGGAATGCAAACTTGTGCAACCACTTTGGAAATCAGTGTGGTGGTTTCTCAGGAAATTGGAAATCAAGCTACCTCAGGATCCAGCAATACCACTCTTGGGAATATACCCAAGAGATGCCCGATCATACTACAAAAGCATTTGTTCAACTACGTTCATAGCAGCATTATTTGTAATAGCCAGAACCTGGAAACAACCTAGATGCCCCTCAATGGAAGAATGGATGAAGAAAGTATGGAATATATACATATTAGAGTACTACTCAGTGGTAAAAAAAAATGACATCTTGAATTTTGCATGCAAATGGATGGAAATAGAAAACACTATCCTGAGTGAGATAACCCAAAACCAAAAAGATGAATATTGTATGTACTCACTTATTTGTGGACTCTAGCCATAAACCAAGGTCATTAAACCCAGAGATGCAGCTTCTTGATGAATGTGGTGCTTTAGCTAAATTTAAAAGGCCTGAAATATGAAGTCACTGAAAAGAAACAGTGAAAGAAAGGCCAGAATGAACACTAATGGATCAATAAAAACAAATTCATGTAGAAGAGACTAGTAGAGAGGACTAGTCTGTAGGGTTATGTCTGACTTTGTGTAAGAACCCTCAGCTCTGAGGGAAGAACATAAATTGATTGTTCGGTGCTACAAGTCCCTCTATGGGAAGTTCTCTGACTCTCCCTTCATGCTGCCCCCCCCCTTCTCTCCACTGGAGTACACTGCCTGTCTATACTTAGGTGCTGGGCATTCTTATTCCTTGGGAAATTTATTTACCATCTCTGATCCTTTGTCTGAAACAATCTTCCCCAGATATTTTCATGTGTGTATCCCTCACTTCTCTAAGTACCTCCTCCATCCAGCAGCTTCACCTGAGGTTTCAAGGCCTCCTCCTGATATTAACATGTTCTTTATCCTCTTCATTTTTTTCTCCCTATAATCATCTAGCATTCTATTTAGTTTATATGTTAATTTAATTTAATTTCAGCCAATCTAATCAAAAAATGTACTTCATAACCCTGGAAATTTTCTCAATTTTGCTTATGAAATTACAGGCTCTTGGCAAACACTGGTTTAATGTGAATAAATAAATAATACATGAGATTCTCCGTCTAATGTTATCAGTATATGATATAGACCAATGAGCCATCTTTGTCCACAGCACAGGTATAAAAAGAAGTGACTTCATTATATCAGGGGCTATGATTAAACTGCAAGAGAAGCAGACGAGAGTTTTCCTACTTTGAGTTATAGAACTTCATTTTACTGTACCTGCTTGGGATTTAAAGCCAACGTGAACTCCAACAGTTAAGGATCGTGACTGTTCCTACACTTTGTCTGCCGTGTCTAGCAAATCAGATAGTGAGGAAACTCTAACCTTGTGACTGACTGTGGAAATTAGATCATCTCGGAGGAGTGGGGACACGTGTTTGTTGTCAAGAGACTCACATATGTCATTGCGGGAATGGTGACAGAGACCTTGGCCCTTTGAGATTGTTTCCCTAGACAGGACAAGTGGGAAGCCTGTGAGAGCAGCACACGAGATGAGTGGACTTGAGCTTTGTACTCCACTGTCTGCCAGACCCCTAGAGCATCAGCTGGTATTCCCACAGCCTGCTCCCTGACTACCGAGTAGCACTATAAAGAGACCTGCTCCTGAAAGAAAGAGCCAGATCCAGCTGCCTCCTTGAGTAGAACTGTCCTGTTCTCAGGTGAGTGCTGGCTTGCCGGGAGTGGCAGCCCGAGGATCCTGCCACTTTGAGACACCTTGAAGACCCCTCGTACTTCATCACAAGACAAGCTCAGTGCCTTAGCTGATGTTCTTCTGGAAAGCAGGTGACATATAACAGAATTATGCTCAACCATAAGGAATGAAGCAATGCCACTTGTAGAAAAATGGATAGAACTGGAGATCATTCTGTCAAGCAAATTAAACTAGACTCAGAATGACAAATACTTTTGCTGTCATAGGCAGAATCTCTCCTCTCTCTCTCTCTCCCTCTCTCTCTCTCTCTCTCTCTCTCTCTCTCTCTGTGTGTGTGTGTGTGTGTGTGTGTTTGTGTGTCTGTGTGTCTGTGTGTGTAGAGAATAGAAAGGAACTGTCAGAGGAGAGGAAGGAGATTTAAAATAAGGAGGGATAAGAAGGAGGGAAGAGGGTTATGCAGTCCATGTAGCACGAAGCAGAGGGGAGAAATATTTGAGAGTGTAAAGGGGACCAGGAAGAGGGTGGTGAGGAACTGAATAAGAACAATGTACAATCCCACATTTTCATGAAAATGCCATGGTAAACCTTTCACTTTGCATGCTAACTTTAAAAACTGTTGTTCAAACAGCCTAGAGAAACCTCAATAGCGATTAGAATAAATCTGCATATCATCCTAGAGAAAAGCTGTACTCAATACAGTTTTGTGTTCTAATCCAAGAACAGTGCATCTTTCCATTTGTTAGATACTATGTTTAATTTATCTCAGGAATAGTTTGTAAATCGCAATATTTAAATTTTCTACTAGTTTTGGTTAAATTCATTATTGTTGATGCTGTTGTGAATAAAAGGTTTTTGGAAGATCAATTTCTGATACTTCAATATATTGTATGGAAATATTGAGCTTTGTAGACTGCTATTAATGCTATAACCTTGCTATTTTACTGTTTATATTAGTGCTTTGTAGACTTTTTAAGGTTATGTAGCCTAGAAAAATAGTGTTACCGCCTTTAAAATAACACAAAATAGGACAGACACTACTTCTGTGCTTTAAGCACCGCCATGGCTGGACAGATGCTATACAGAGGGGTGGATCAGGAAAGCGGGCAACTCTGGATGAGAGAGATCTTTAAATGAGCAGAAGCCATTGAGAATGTGAAACGTGACATTTTACCTCCAACCTACCTTCTTTTCTCATTTGTCCCATTTCTCTTGGGTACAATGGTCAAGGAAAACGGTCTCCCTCCAGGGAAGGTTGTTTTCTTTTGCCCTCCACCACACAGAGTCGTTTGTTGGGACACTTGCATTCTCCCACGAGCTGTTTGCGATAAATACAAAAACAGATGGTTGGATCCAAGATAGAAATAAAAACACACAGGACTGTTCCACACCAGAAGGGGGGTGTGGCAAAGGGGTGGGTGTTTTGACAGAGATCTAGGTAAATCAGGAAGGGAAATTGTCAGAGGTCCCAGCCTGAGACTTTGATAAGCCAGAGAGGCCACTTGGGGTGCAACTCCCCAGGCAGAGTGGCATATGTACTACTTTGTAGCCCTGTGAGGGATTACTGGTGTGTGTTGAGCTCAGGCTGGGCTCACAGCTCTTGTTGGGACATTCATCTCACTCTTTTGAGACTATTTTGCATCTCGCTGAAGAGTGAAATTGTCTTTGACAGTATTAAGTAGCAGGGTTTAGAATTCGATATTGAGAAGCTGTTCCTTTACTTGCACAAACCCTAAGAATGGAGAAAATCAAAATCAGCGATATGGGTTTTATAACCTTTGAATCCTTAATCTGTTTTCTTTGCTCTTTCAAGACAGGGAGATTCCAGCTTAAAATGTCTTGGTTCTTGTTTAATTGTGATTAAAGCATCAGTTCTCTAAGCTCTCTCCATTAAGGAGAAGTTGAATAAAGAGAAGAAAAGCCAAACTGTATTAAAGACCTTAGTCAGAAAGGAGAAAGAATCCTGGGAGAGATAAACAAATTAATCAGGGTACCCTGGACACTGTCAACAAAGACACCTGCATCATTTACTTCTAAGCATCAAAGGCCCCGACTCCCATAGCCAAGCCCCCAACTGCTGAAGTTAACCAGCTCTAAATACAGGACATTAGGGAGCTTGACAGAGAAAGAGATTGATGTGAGTGCTTAGCTGATTGGGTGGGGTATGGGGTTGAAACAAAGCAACACTGAGCTCCAGAAAAAAAAAAAAAAAAAAAAAAAGAGAAGAGAAGAAAGTCCTCCCTTGACATGAATGACTTATTGGCACAGATCCCAAGAAAATTCCTCAGAATATCATAAAAAATCAGTAATACTGCTCCCCAATTCAGGGCTTACCCCCCAAGTTCTCTTTGGGACAAAAGAAAATATCCTTGGTGGTGACTTCCAGGCATACAGATCCTGGCTGCTAGCTGGGAACATGTCTAGTAGCTAGGATCCGCTGGAGGTGTTGGATCTTGCCAGCACCTCCATCTGCACAGAGATGGTTACAGGGAGCTAGTATATTTGTTTTATAAATCCAGATACATTTCTTTTTTCTTTTCTTTTCTTTTTCCTTTTTATTTGAAGAATATTTTCGATTCCCCCTACCTCAGAAGAGCCTTTATTGTCTCTTCTGACTACTTAATTCTGCTCACGCTTTAGGACTGAAATTTAGAGAGCATCATTTCGAGGAAGATTGCTCTGTCTTTGTCATCCCTGCAGTCCATGAATCTCTTACACTAGCTTTATCACAATGCTCTAATGGATTTACTACTTATCCGTCTCCTATCCTAAGCAAGCCTTGTGGAGGTCAAAAAAGATGACTCTCAGATATGTGTCTCACTAATGGCATTGTGCTTAACAGATCATTCAAGTAAATATTTCTGAAATCTGAATCAATAAATGTAAAGAGAGAAGGGGAGAGAGAAGGAAAATGGTGAAGGAAGAAAGTAGAAATAAAGATGGAGGAAAGCAAAGGAGGGTGGGCAGCAGGGAAGAGACAGGAAGAGAGAGCGGAGGGTGACAGCTCTATCTGAAAAGAGAGTTACTATTGTAATTTTATGAAGTGGGGGTGCCTAGTATCCAGACAGTGAAGGTAGAGGCAAAAAAAAAAAGGTCTGAGGAAGTCACATTATGGGGAAAAATATTTTTCTACCAAAGCTTTATTTGGAAATTTTAAATGTGCCTTAGGAATAGTGAGAAATAAGTGAATTTTGAGCGTTCACATTTCCTCCTTTGGAAAAGAGCTGGGATGTGGTTGGAGGTAGAGGGAGAAGGGAGAGAGGGCTAGCATGCACTAAGTTCCAGGGAACTCCCTGACTCTGCTCCCTGCCCTTGCAGGCTGTCACTGTGACCTCGCCCTCTCCAGACCTCCCCACTTGGTGTCAGCGATGAGCTCCTGCAACTTCACACATGCCACCTTCGTGCTAATAGGAATCCCAGGCCTGGAGGGAGCTCACTTTTGGTTTGGCTTCCCCCTGCTTTCCATGTATGCCGTGGCACTGTTTGGAAACTGCATCGTGGTGTTCATCGTGAGGACGGAGCGGAGTCTGCATGCACCCATGTACCTTTTTCTCTGCATGCTGGCCGCTATCGACCTGGCTCTGTCCACATCCACCATGCCCAAGATCCTCGCCCTCTTTTGGTTTGACTCCCGGGAGATTACTTTTGATGCCTGTCTTGCCCAGATGTTCTTCATTCATGCTCTCTCGGCAGTTGAATCTACCATTCTGCTGGCCATGGCCTTTGACCGCTATGTGGCCATCTGCCACCCACTGCGTCATGCTGCTGTGCTCAACAATACAGTGACAGTTCAAATCGGCATGGTGGCTCTGGTCCGGGGATCTCTATTCTTCTTTCCGCTCCCACTGCTGATCAAGCGGCTGGCCTTCTGTCACTCCAATGTGCTCTCCCATTCCTATTGTGTCCATCAGGATGTGATGAAGTTGGCCTATACAGACACACTGCCCAATGTAGTCTATGGTCTAACTGCCATTCTGCTTGTCATGGGTGTAGACGTCATGTTCATCTCCTTGTCTTACTTTCTGATTATACGAACAGTTCTGCAACTGCCTTCCAAGTCGGAGCGAGCTAAGGCATTTGGGACCTGTGTATCACACATTGGTGTGGTTCTGGCTTTCTATGTACCACTCATTGGCCTATCAGTGGTACACCGTTTTGGAAACAGCCTAGACCCCATTGTGCATGTTCTCATGGGGGATGTCTACCTGTTGCTGCCTCCTGTGATTAATCCCATCATCTACGGTGCTAAGACCAAGCAGATCAGAACTCGAGTGCTGGCTATGTTTAAGATCAGCTGTGACAAGGACATTGAAGCTGGAGGAAACACGTGACCCTTACCATTTTATCACCCTTGTCCTCGATAGCTTAATATAGTGATTTCATCATACCTGCTTAATTCCAGTCACCCATAAGCACATTAGTGCTTTTCCCTGGATGGGATAGTGAACTAAGTATGGTTTATCTTCATCGTGGATATAACGTGAAATAATCTCTATCAATGAACATTATGTGGTTCAAGGACTCTGCCTAAAATGAGAAATGTGGGTAATATTAAATAAGGCAACTAGGATTTGTGATTTAAAACTAACTGATCAGGCTTGTGACTTGGATGAAATATGTTCAAATTACTAATGAGTTTGTTTGATTCCTCCTCTGTCATGAAGCTATTGCTCAGTCGTTATGTGTATTGGCTAGAATGTAGACCATGAAGCCGACAGAATGGTAAGCAAGGCTTGCCTCATTCACTTCAAGCTTGTTATTCACTACCCAGGAACATAGCCAAGTCCCAAAGAGCAATGCTTATGACTGTGTCATGACAGCTTAACATGTTCCAGGCCCCCGTGATACGTGGTTTTCAGCCTGTCTTTAATCTCATCCTTTTTCCAAAGTAGGTACCATTCTTGCCCATCACAACATATGATAGAGGCTTTAATGAGCAAAAAACTTTCTTGTATGTGCTGTGCCAAGATCTTAAATTAAATTTGATAATTGAATACATTTGTTTTACTACCATGTTATATTGCTTCCTGTTTAACATCTGCCATCCATTTCCTCTGCCCGTTACAAATCCTGTTTTCTCTCTGCTGTGTGCTAACATGGATGTCCTTGTGTTTAAGCTGAGTCATTAGTCCTGCCCTATTTGAGAGCAACAAACGGCTCTTTGTGGCAGAGTAGCCTGCTTCTCCTCAGATGAAAGGAACTTTCAATCGTTTAGTCTCTTACATACCTTTGATTTTTGTCTTCTTTGTATTATGTTCTGTATCTGTCAGATCTTTTGAATGGGTAATATGTGTTAGTGTCTGAGTCTTGACTTAGGTGTCAAATGACATAATAATTTATATTAAAATGTTCAGTGTTATTTCTACTGTTTTTTATGTTTATATAACCCTATAAAGTAATGTTGGGAGATATGAGGGATCCCCTAGTCTTCTTTGTCATCAGTGCAAAGGGCCTGCCAGGTACGGCTTGCACAACTGTAAAGATGTTGAATGAACTTATTTCATGTACAATATTCCCTTCATAGAGAATGGAATGATGAAAAGGTTCTAGAAATAGTAATGATACCTACAGAATAATATTAATATATTCAGAGTACACTTAATGTTTAAAATGGTGAGATTTGTGTAATAGGCATCTGCCGCAATAAAAAAAATTATTTAAATTGCTGCAAAATATTTTATTGTCACTTATATATCATTAAAGTAGTAAAAAAATGTTTGGGTATGTTAGGTTAAAGGAAATATATTATTTTTAAAAAAAATAGCTTTTAAAAATAGCCGCAAAGAATATTGGATCTGAAATACCAAAAGACCGCAACTCAACAGTTTGCTGTGTTTACAACAGGCCCATGTTACACCTTTCAGAGCTCTCAAAGGCTGTGCTCATAGCTGTCAGATAACCTAGAGGGGAGTCAACAGCAGGGCAGCACACCCTTGGGTAAGTTATGTACTGTCTTTCCAATTTTTTCCTGCTTATAACTTTGTAATAAGTTTCATTTCTAAGGCCAAAAGGCAGAAACAAAAACTTCCAAGAGAACTTTGTTGTTATTTCTGTGAATATCGTGTGTTAGTTTAGCAAGGTCTTCCTGATTAGAATAATAAAATGGTGATTTGTGGAGAAGGGGAAGTCATTTGACACTGTGGGGAACGAACATTTTCCAGCCACTTGACCAGGCAGTGACTTCCAGATATTTGGACATACATTTTTCTGGGTATCTTCATGATGGTGTATTTTTGAGTGATATTAACAAACCAGTGGACTCTGAAGAAAGAAAAAGGCAGCCCTCTGTAATGTGGAGAAGCCTGACTCAATTAGATGAGGGCTAAATAGAGCAAAGACTGACCTCCCCTGGGCGAGAAAGAACTCTGCAGCATAGGTAGCTTAGGGCCTGAACTGTGATGTTGACTCCTCCTTGGACTTCCAATCTAGAAGCCCACTCTGCAGATTTTGGGTTGACAAGCCCCCATAATCACACAAGTCAATTCCCTCATATAAATCCCATTCTGTCTTTTCATTATGTCTATGTCTGTGAGTCTCTCCTTATTTATTCACCTATTATAATCTCTGAAGGTTTTTTTCTTTATTTTATGTGTGTGGATATTTTGCCTTCATATATGTCTATGTATCAAGTATATTCAATGTCCTTGGAGACCAGAAGAAGTCTGATCCCCCAGGATAGGAGTTACAGATAAGACACATGTGGATATGAGTTATTAAATCCCAGTCCTCTGGAAAAGGAGCCAGTGCACGTGACTGCTGAACCCTCCCTCCAGCCCCATCTAGAGAACCTTACCTGAAAGAGACCTGAAAAGCTTATACAGAGGGAAACTGTTCCTGTGGACAGTTAAACTGTGAAGGGAAAGCCATAAATTGAAAACAAAACCATAAAAAAGTTAGCATGTGAAATATAAAGAAAATTAACTGTCTCTGCCTAATTTTTAATAGGCATCTTGATCTAAGCTCAAAATTTTGTAAAACCAGTTCCTTCCATTCATGTGTTACCAGACTCTAAGTGCATGGACTAGCATAGTTTAAGGATATGACCACCAAACAACCTCTGCCTTGAAAAGCTCCATATGAATAACACATAAGACCCCACACACTGCAAACACAATCACTTCTCTCCTTTTGGAACACTGATATGTTCCCCTTAGCTACCTACCACAAGCGAATAAATCTGGCTTTGTATGACTACAGGCATGCTCTGGTCGTCTTTAGCTGTGGTCTTCAGCAAAATCTACAAGTCTATGAAAATCACATAAACAGGAAGCAGTGTCTTACAGAAGAAATACTTGATGTATTGAGCTGGGAATGCAAAGAACAATTTGAAACACAGACTCCAGCAAAGTAGAATCAGATACCGTTCTAGAAAACAAGAAGAGAGAGCAAACAGAGCGATCCTGGAGGCAGAATATTCCATCTAGCTATTACTGAGGTCACTACTATGGATAAGGGGTATTTGGCTCTCTTAACATACGCTAGGGAATTGCCTCGCCAAGAACTCCTATTTTATTAAAGGCTGACCCTGATGTTTTCATTGTGTGCTTTGAGGGAATCCCTAAAGTAGAAAAGCACCAAAAATGCCTAGTTGAGATAGAAATTGAAAAATGAATGAAAGTATCTGTCATACCTAAGGTGAAGCAAGAGGTGGGCCAAGGTGTGATGCAGGACACATGGGACTGAGTCAAGGAAAGAAGGTGAAGGTTTGAGAAGTCTATGAGTTGGGATTTCTACACTATATTCAGAAGTAGCACTTACTGGGGACTTAATATAATCCTCTACTACAATATATATAATATATATAATTATATTAATAATACCTTATTTATATAATCCATGAGCAATTAAAAGAACCATTTAAGGCCAGGTGGTGGTGGCTCATGCCTTTAATCCCAACACTCGGGAGGCAGAGGCAGGCGGATCTCTGTGAGTTTGAGGCCAGCCTGGTCTACAAGAACTAGTTCCAGGACAAGCTCCAAAGCTACACAGAGAAACTCTGAATCGAAAAAAAAAAAAAAAAAAAAAAAAAAAAAAAAACCTCCCAAATAGAAAATAAGGGGTTAGTTAAATAAACTTCTTCAAGTCACATAGTAATAAAAGGTAGATTTCAGACTTGAAGTAAGATCACTCTGAGGTCCCTGTCTCCCCTGCTACACCTGCCTGCACTGCACTCGAGATCTGTAGCCCGACCAGGCAGGCATAAACTGACTTGTGTGTGTGATAAGGTCCCGAGAGACGACTTCCTCCAGAGTGTTTCAGCTAAACCATTTCCCCTTCAGACCCCTGCTTTTCCATCTGAAACCTGTAAGCGGTGAGGATTCAGACACAGGGCGGGTTCATTGCTTCTCAAAGATGCTGTGTCTTTTCTGGAAGGGAAAGGGAGAGCAGAGGTGATGCCAGCCTGAGGCTCCTGGGCCAGCTCCCTCTCTGGGAGGTTCCTTTCCCTCGTCTGTTTTCCAGGAGTGTTGAGCATCCCTCTAGGTGAGATAACCCAATTCATTTATGTAGGTTAAAACAGAAAAAGCTACCGTGTTGCACACAATTTGTTGTCAGTCCACACTCTAGACATTGTTATCACAATCAGTACAACAAATGCATCCATCACCTCAGAGAGTTTTCTCCCTGCTCCCGTCTTGTTATTTCCTAATGTGGGGGGAGCATTGAACATAAGATCTACCACTGCAACACTTGAAAACATGCATTGTGGGGCTGTCAATCACAGGCTTTGGGTATTTTGAACAGCTGTGCTCAGGTGGGCACCGTGGTGCACCCTGCAATCCCAGTGCTTTGGAGGTGGAGGAAGGAGCACCCAAAGATCATGTCATCCTCAATCTCTCAGTGAGTGTGAATGGGACACTGTGTGACAGGGAGAGACAAGACAGAGCAGAGAAAAGGAGCTTCATATTCATCTATCCCATACAGTGTTCCCTCAGGGGATGGCCAAGAAGGATGTGCTGAAAGGCACAAGTGTGGCCCGTACTAACCCAAAGGCATGGTAGAGCTATGGGTTGTAATGGAGGATCTGAGCTGTGTTTTCCATTCTGACACCAGATGGGCAATCTTCCCTAATTCATGCAATCTCTCCAGTGAATAGGATAATCTCTAAATTCCTGCCACATTTCAAACATGCTGTTCTGCAAATATCCTTAACAAGCCTTAGAGAATACCAACTGCACTCTGGCCTACATGAAAGGCTGGCTCCTTCCCTATGTCTGCACCTGTTCTTTGCCCAAACATGGTACTTTTTAACTTAATCTCCTACACTCTGTTCCTACCCAATTATGGCTCTCTCTAGAAAATCAAAACCGCTCTCAGAGACAGAAATTTTCCC